TTAAAAAATTTTTATAGTCAAAGTTTTATCCTTGATAGTTTAGTCAGACTGTACAATTTCTTGCCCAAAGCTTTTTTTTTTTAAGTGATGGGGTCTTGCTCTATTGCCCAGGCTGGAGTACAGTGACATGATCGTAAGTCACTGTAGCTTTGAATTCCTGGGTCCAAGCGGTCCTCAGCCCAAGTAGCTGGGACTACTACAGGTGCGTGCCACCACATCTGGCTCATTTTTAAATTTTTGTAGAGAACAGGGTCTTGCTGTGTTGCCTAGGCTGGGCTCAAACTCCTGGCTTCAAGTGATCCTCCTGCCTTGGCCTCCCAAACTGCTAGGATTACAGGCATGAGCCACTGCACCTGGCCCCTAAAGCTTTTGATCCCAGGTAAACAGGAGAAAGTTTTTTCACTTTAAAAAACAAGAAAATCCTTGCCATTTATTTTATTTGATGAATAAATAGATCAATTTATTATATAGCTTAAAATTTTCCTTGAGAAGATTTCTTACTTTGAAATAACCTTTATAAGTACAAATGATTATGACAAATAATGTACAAATGGGATTCATGTCTGAAAGAAGCCTAAATAGAAGAGAATTCCAGACTAAACTAGATGGTTTTCACTAGATTCCTTCCAGGTGTCATGTTCTATGATTGAAAAAAATTATTTTTGAAAATTATTTTAACTTTGTATTCTTTGCTGTGAGACTTCACTACAAATACTTCTGGGAATGAATTAAGTGGAATGGTAACTTTTCAGAGGTTCATAATTGAGTTAGACTTCTTGTCACTGCGATGTTTGGTTTCCATTCAAATATATGAAGTGAGGAGTCATATCCCAAATTTTCTCTTTGGCATTTAATGATAGCATGTCTCAGCACTCTGGGAGGCCGAGGCAGGTGGATCGTTTAAGCTCAGGAGTTCGAGACCAGCCTGAGCAAGAGCGAGACCCCGTGTCGACTAAAAATAGAAAGAAATTAGCCAGACAACTAAAATATATAGAAAAAATTAGCCAGGCATGGTGGCACATGCCTGTAGTCCCAGCTACTCGGGAGGCTGAAGCAGTAGGATTGCTTGAGCCCAGGAGTTTGAGGTTGCTGTGAGCTAGGCTGATGCCACGGCACTCTAGCCCAGGCAACAGAGTGAGGCTCTGTCTCAAAATAAGAAAAAAAAAGCATGTCTGTCAACCAATGAAGATTTAAGGACAGAGTCTCTGTAAATTCTTCTGATTATTCCACTAAAGCTTGTCAATATTGGAAAACCAAACATCACAGATTTCTCCAGGAACTCATACTCCTAAACAAAAAATAGATATAGTTTTCAGGTTTTGTCTCTCTTGGTGATGATATGCCACGCCATCACTTAACATACATTTTTCTTCCAAAGGTAAGAAAAGTATTCCGGCAAATCATTATCGTCGATTTGTAAATAACAGTAGTAGTCTTGTCGCTTATCTTAAAACCACCCATCTCTTGTAGTTAAAAAGATTAGTATTACAGTGCCCTTCACATTATAGTTTACTTACTGTTCTGTATAATGTCCATATTATAGTTTACTGTCCTGTCCTGTAAGTACAGGAGTTGCTTACTATGTTTACTTGTTGTCCTACATACTCTCCATTGCATCATTAGTACATGTTATAATGATGAAAGAATTTTATTGAATATGTTTGAAGTATTATAAAAGGCAGGTTGCTTTTTAATCTATGCATCTTTGGGATTTTGAACAAGAAATTTTATTCTCTGATGTAAAAAGAAACTGTTACGAGAGTTGGAAACTCTGCACCTGTGTGTGTATATATATATTTTAGCAATAAAGCAGCATGGGCTGAGAATGCACTGAAATTTCATTGTGTGTTACTTGGAATGAGTAATTTCAAATAGTGCAGAAAATTATGATGGGAGAAGGAGCCTTTCCATAGACCTGTGCTCAAGTAGGCTCCAGACATCAAAGAACAGACTAAGGACAAGGTTTCTTGATACCTACCTGTGGCAGTCTGTGGTGTATGTTGTCCAGTGGAACAGGCAGCCGTCTGAAGAAAAATGGGCATCCTGTTTCAACTGACTCCATTTCGCTGTTTTGCCTACCTTATGCAAGGTCTATCAACAAATGTTTAGTTTCTGGTATGGAAATAGCTAAGTTATTATATAATCATGACACAACTATTGCAGGGAATGCTTCCCATCTGAAATACGATATAAAGTGTTTAAGATGCTCTTATATTGAGTATGTAAATGTTGGCTTAGCTATTATCTAAAGAGGTTAACATTAAACTGATAATTAAAAGATGCTTCTCTGGGCTGGGCGCGGTGGCTCACGCCTGTAATCCTAGCTCTCTGGGAGGCCGAGGCGGGCGGATTGTCTGAGCTCAGGAGTTCGAAACCAGCCTGAGCAAGAGCAAGACCCCGTGTCGACTAAAAATAGAAAGAAATTAATCGGACAACTAAAAATATATAGAAAAAATTAGCCGGGCATGGTGGCGCATGCCTGTAGTCCCAGCTACTCGGGAGGCTGAGGCAGGGGGATTGCTTGAGCCCCGGAGTTTGAGGTTGCTGTGAGCTAGGCTGACGCCACGGCACTCTAGCCCGGGCAACAGAGTGAGGCTCTGTCTCAAAAAAAAAAAAAAAAAAAAAAAAAAAGATGCTTCTCTGGATTCAGGAGAAAGGAAAGGCTTTTTCAAGTAAAGTAGATGTTACAGAGTTCCTTGGGATTGGCTGTTGTCAAATGGGGAGGAACAAAGAAGCTATGTGGATTTTGTCCATGTGACTACTAATGTAACTTCCTCTGATTTATGAAATTATTCATTTAATAAACATTTACTAGTACACTTCACTTTCCCAGGTACTGTGCTAGATTTTGGGGTTACGAAAATGGAGATGGTTTCTAACATTAATTAAGAAGCTCAAAAATTTACAATTTTGATATACAATGTAATGCTCCTATAGCCACATGGAATTTTGAAATGCTTTTTTAACATATATAAAATTACCTTTATTTTATGTCTATATGTGTGTATCCATATACATGAAGGTTAATAGCTAGTATTGAGCACTTAATATGTGCCAATAAACAGCTCTAATTATATTAGATGTCATTAATTCATTTAATTACCACTGTAGCTCTAGTTGCTGTTTTTATCCCTGTTTTACATAGAAGGAAATAAAAATAGAGATTTAATTCTCCAAATTCATGGCTAATAAGTACCCAAGTAACAGTCTGAATCCAAAGTTTTGTTCCAGAACCTGGACACTTAACAGCATGATATATTGTGCCTCCCCAAAAAATGGAAGGGCAAGAAGTGTACTTTAACTCTTTATTTTGTCATACATCTATATCTGAATTTTTTCTAGAGTGAGCATGTAATTTGAAAAGAAAGAACCAATTTAAAGCCAGCCAGATTAATTTGCTGTCACGTTGAAGCATTTAATTTTCTATTCTACATCTTAACCAAAATGGCAAATCCAGAGGTTAAGAAAAATAGATACAGAAGAACAGCTTTTTAATTTAGATAAAGAAAGGAAATTGTTGAGGGGGACATACCCATACATATATTAAAAACTCCAGGATGATTCAATATGATATTAGGTCCCATTCTTTAAAAGTTTTTCTAGTGCCCTTTATTGTCCTTGCTTAAGGGACCAAATTTGGCAACTCAAAAGCATATTTGCAAACAAATCCGAATTTTCTCAGTATAAAACCTTTTTAAAGGAAAATATCCTATATGCAGTATAAAATGGAAAGAATCTGCTATTAAAAAAATTCTACTAGCTACATTTCAACCAAGTTAGCATCTATACCACCACCACTTGGATATATGATTCCTTGATTATGCTAGTGCCACAGCCCCTGCTTAGTGTCTGCTTGTTGCCTTTCCCTCCTATTCTCCACAGGACAATCAAAATGAGGTTCTAAAAAAGTAAATTTGATTTGTCACACACCTCCCCCTTTAAAATTCTTCAAGGGCTTCCTGTTGTTCTTGGGTTAAAAATAAATATCCTTGCACCCTCTGGTTTCTGGCTACCTTTACAATTCTTGCAGGCTGCCTTTTAATAGGCTCAAAAGACCTCACAGGGTCTTGGCACATGCTGCTGTTCCCTCCATCACCTTGTTAATTGCTACTCATCTTTGAGACCCTTGCTGAAACTCCACTTCCTCAGAGAGGCCTTCCTTGAACCCCAGACCAGGTCAGTTGCCTGCTTTGTGGGCTTGTAGCACGGTCCCTTTACTTCAAAACGCTTACCACTGTCATAATTTAACGTCTTTACGTGATTATTTGAATGTCTACCTCTGACTAAATTATAAACTTTGTGAAGCTACACAGTGACTGTTTTTGCTTTCCTTTTTTACCCGGCACCTAAGCATAATACCTTATAAATATTTAAATGAATATTTTGATAAACTACTCGGCCAAAGTGCTACATAAAGGAAAATTAGAGAAAACAATACTTCAGTGAATGTTTGATACTTTATCATTCCTTTCATTATTATCCTGTTAAGCTCAGTTTACAACAGAAAAGAGACAAATTATACATTATCCAGTCAATTTATTAAATATTACCTACAGAGTATTAGGTATCTCTCTTTCACATAAAGAAAAAAATGATTTTTCAGCATTCATAACAACTGCTCCATGGAGGAAGAGTACAAGTAGCCAACATTAAACCCAGCTCTACTTTCAGACCAACCATGCAACTTTTAGAACAGAGCACACGTGGAACATTGCATCCTAATTCCTAAATTTGCAGTCAAAGATGTGTTCAGAGATAAGTATTATGAAATTGATAAGAAGCTAAAATAAGTTCTTAAGGCAAATAGCTATTAAACCTGGACAGGAGACTCTTTAATTTCTAATCTAAAAACAGTTTCACAAATCATTTGGAAAATCAGTCTAGCAGCAGACATAATAAACTGCATTTTCCCCCATTTTTGAAGCCAATTTTTTTCAAGAGAAAACCAAATTGTTGAAGATAATAAAGCCTGAACCTGATACTTGAGCCTTGGTTCTGGATCAGTTTTCTGGCTTGGACTGATCAAGAGTCACTTCCTTCAGAATCTTCATTAGTGAACTTAAGCGAGTATGCGTTAACATTATCTTCTCTTTTAGCTAGGAAGAGAGAGAGACAGATATCAGGGCATCTTAAGCTTAACTCCCAATTTGCTAGTTGTAAATCCACTTCAAATTTAAGCTAGTTTATATCTAGTGATTGGGAGCTGGCAATGTCTCAACACATTTCAGGAACACATTCTGTTTCTGAAAGAACTTCATACAACAACCTAGTGCACAGTAAGATCCTTAGACATAAAGTTTCATATGAAAAAAGACCAACCGCTGCTGAGCATCACTGCTTCTGTGAGGACTGGAATAAAAAGTGGTCAGAGAGCTTTGTGGAAATAGAAGCATCAATTAATCTTCACCTCCTTTTCCAGTGGCAAGAATTTAGCTTTTCTTTGAACCCTTTGTTAACAGTAACAAATACCTTTCTGATTTGAATATTCTGCAAATGGTCTTCAAAAATAACTCTGGTTATTAGGTTTAGAACAAATGTTTGTTGTAATTAATTAGATAATTTCCAAGAGTTCTGTCACATTAGAACAGCTATATTTATTTATTTATTTATTTTTTTTATTCACTCCCCATAGGGACTTTCAAAAATTGCCAATGCTGACTACATTACAAGTCAGCATGGCAGGGCATTGGGTAAAGTTTTCAATTAGCAATAATTGTGCCTCAGGTAAACCTCATTGGCTACAATACTGCCACTACGCAAAGATAGAACAGCTATATTTAGAACCACATTTAGTGGTGTTCCTCAGCAGGGCGGGGCAGTGGTTTCTGGTCATCTCAGCTTGTCCATCCCAGCATGGAATTTTCACCTACACTCAAGCTGGGGCAAATGCAGCTGGGTTCCCAATATTCTTGGCCTACCGTGCCTGTAGTAGAACCAATACACTACAAATGGCCACTCTTGCCTGGAACAGAGCTTCGGCAACACAGAGTAGGGGAATGAGAAATGCTGGTGGCCCACCCCTTCTGGGGAGATACCATATCTTTTGACTGGGAGCTAGGGGGAAAAGGATTTCTTTGTTCTTGGTTGCACCTGCCCAGATGGAGCCTCCCTCCTGTGCTGAGGGTGGGGAGTGGAAGGGAGAGAATATGTTATGGCTCAGATCCCACAGGCTCTCTTCACTGTTCTTATCAAGATTTAGTAGATTTTCTTAAATATTTGTTGTTCTATTTGTTGAATGCCTTGAGGAAAATTTCCACAGACTTAAGATGGTTGTTTTCTTTTTAATTTTCTTCAGCTTTGTGGACCCTATCATTCCAAAGTCATTTCCCATGTCAATTATTTTTAAGCACAATACTTACCTCCTCGTGAACTCATAGAGTAGGGAATGGTAAATTATGGACCTACTGCCCATTTTAGTAAATTTTTATTGTAACACAGCCATGTCCATTTGTTTATGCATTGTCTATGGCTGCTTTTGCACTATAATGGCAGAGTAGGGTAGTTGAGACTATATGGTCACAAAGCTTAAAATATTTGCATCTAGCCCTTTACAGAAAAAGTTTGCCAACCCTGGCTTAGAATGTTGTCTGATGAGCTTAGCTAGCTTTGTAAAAAAGCAAAAAATCACTGTTCTGTCCTTAATGTTACTCCTAATATTAAATTTTGAAAAATAAATGTCACTGGTTACAAAATATGTAATGCACATGGAATAAACAATTAACAGCACTAAAGACAAAATCAATAGTAAATTCTAAGACTGTTCTTTTGAGGGTAATAAAGTTACAGCCAAATTTTCACTCAGAATAAGTCTGCAAGCTACCAAAAAGCTTTCTTCAATTCAAAGCCATTAACTGCTCATAAAACCCATTTAAATAAGAATTCTTAATAATTGTTCTACCATGCTTTCCTCTGAGACTTGGTAAACAATTATAAGGTAATTGCAGAGAGGACAGCTCTATGCAAGATGTTGTTGTCCATTCCCAGCACAAAGGCGAATACAGGAATGCAGTAGATGAGTAGCTTTCCCCTCTTCCTGATTTAGATCTTAAAATGTGGTTTTAGTATTTTGCTTTGTCAATAAAGAAGGCCACACCAAGTATAAAGCGTTTGAGTATCACACCATTTCATCATCCCCTAGCTCATTGGCACAAATTATCAAGAGTAGTTTATATTAAAGGAACTAAGAACCATCATGAAATTTTACCTCTGCAATCTTTTCTGGTAGAGGTATATTGTGAATATCCATCTCAGATGCATTTACAATGGCTTTTGTTTTTAAATGATAGCTAAATAGAAAATACAGAGAGAAAACATTAGTATCATAGTGCAGTTAAGATTATCAACGAACCAAATTTGCCATCTAAAGAAAAGATCTGTCAAGCAAAGCCTGCCCTCTTAACTGATTTCCATTTCAAAACTTATGATGTACAGTTAGCCCTGTCAGCATCCATGGATTTACAAACTGTGCACTGAAAATGGTAAAAAAAAAAAAAAAAAAAAAAAAAAAAGGATGGTTATGTCTGTACTGAATACATAGACATTTTTTCTTGTCATCATTCCCTAAACATTATAACAACTATTTATATAGCATTTACATTGTATTAGGTTGTATAAGTAATCTAGAGATGATTTAAAGTATATGGAAGGATATATGAAGATTATATGCAAATATTACACCATTTTATATCAGAGACTTCATTGTCTGTGGATCTTGGTATCTGCGAGGGTCCTGGAATCAATCCACCATGGATACTGAGAGATAACTATATTTTGTTGGAAAAACAAATTCTCAGTAAACAAATCAGAGAGGCTCTGTGCCTCATCCTACTCCTTCCCAGAGACAAAATTATCTCAGGATAAACTGAAGACAAAAACCAGGGTCTTATGAATAATGATGAATATAAGCTTCACACTCCACCAGCAGATCTGTAGCATAGTCTGAAGTAATCACGTTGTGAGAATAGTGTTGGTTGCCTACCCAGTGGCCATTCTGCACAGCTTTCTTGCTATCAGAATCCAGATTTTATCTAGGGCAGCAGCGTGCCCAGTCCTAGCAGATGAAGCATAACTGTTCTAAGCCAACTGTGACAAGCCTATTTTTAAAATTTTTTTTTATTTTTTATTTTTTTCTGAGACAGAGTCTTGCTCTGTTGCCCAGGCTAGAGTGTCGTGGCGTCAGCCTAGCTCACAGCAACCTCAAACTCCTGGGCTCAAACGATCCTTTTGCCTCAGCCTCCCAAGTAACTGGGACTATAGATGTGCACCACCATACCCGGCTAATTTTTTCTAATTTTAGTAGAGACGAGGTCTCACTCTTGCTCAGGCTGGTCTTGAACTCCTGACCTCAAATGGTCTTGCTTCCTTGGCCTCCCAGAGTGCTAGGATTACAGGTGCGAGCCATTGCACCAAGCCTGTGACAACCCTATTGCCACATATTTACTTTCGCAGCTTATGGTGATCATGTGACATAATTCTGGTGACCACAAATAAGGAAATTTATGCTTATAAAAGGAGATTTTTTTCTTGTGTTCCCATACTCCCCATATCCTTTTTCTTCCTGTTGAGGATGCTACCATGGATCGATGGAATGATTATAATTGCAGCAGTCATCCTGCATCCAAGAGGAAAAGGCCAAGAGAACCAGAGACGTGCTGACCCAGAGCCCTGTGATGGTTGAGCAACTAGATGATTCTGCAAGCAGCCAACTGCCCCCACCTCTTACTAAAGCCACTGTCAGTGAGGTTTTCTGTTATTAGCAACTAAATTCATTCTCACTGACAGAGATTTATTATCTTCCCAGACTCATGCCACCAATACTTTCCTAGTTTCTACTTAACTAAAAAGAATGTACTGACTTTTGATCCAACTCATTTCAAAGATTAAGATATTAATCAAAATCCCATAATGCTTTTCAAATTTATGTTAAAATTTT